GGTTCTTCAGCATCTGCTCCTTTAGCTTATCTTCACTGATTGCTTCAGAGATCGAATCCATCAGTTGTGTCCATTCCAGTACTTTGAGTGAAATGCTGGTAGGTCAGTCCCTCAGCCTGCAAACTTCTCTGCCCTGCCACAGTAAAGGAGATCCATTCAGCTGAACCTGATCTCCACTGAGCAGCACCATCTCATACACAGATTTCTGAAAAGTTTCTGCTATTCTAATCCATGAGCACATCACTTCATCTGGAAAAACTTCAATCCTTTTTTCCTAGGCTGCTTCTAGCTCTGCAGTGATTTAGTGCAGACCCAGAGTGGCCCATCTGTGTTTGCCAACAGGGACTCACGTGTCTGTTCTGTTCCTGCTGGGCTGTCAACAGTGCGTAACCAAAGAGATTTCCCATATTGAGACCGTACTGCTGAGTGATCATTTACAGTTGTTTCCTTGAGTCTCGAGGGGGTTAATTTTTTCCCCGTGTCACTCCATACCTGGATGCTTCCTGCGCAGTATGTTCTGCACGCTCACTTCAAAGTCAGATGTGACATGATCTGCTTATCTCTGGGTCCCCCACATTGTCCATGCTGTCCCTAGGCAGATTTATGTCGGCATTTGGCAGCCACGGGAGTTCCCTTCGGTGCTTCAGATGTTCTGTCTGACCTTTGGAATGCTGTACACAAAGCTGAAAGTGGCTCTTGCTTCCATGAATTGCCTGATACCCTCTATGAGAGTCATAATTATATATTAATGATTTAGTAAATTACTGCCCTTCTATATTTTAATGTCTATATTTAGTGTTTATTACATTGTGGCATAGAAGTGTGCGGTCATTTATAGATTTTTGAAATCTATTGTATGACAATTGGCACCACCCTCCCCGTGGCTCCCCAGAACTCCTGGGGCACTGGGTTCCGGCCAGACCAGCACTTTGGAAAAAACAAAAATTGCAAGTCTTTTAAAGCCTAACTTATTTCATGCATTTTTATGAACTAGCAAAGATGGGGTTTATTTAATTGTGACCATGACCATATAACACATTTTAAGTTGTTATGCATTGGGTACACGTTACTATTGTTAAACAGCCAGGACACGTAGCTTACCCAGTTTTTACATTCCATTTATTTTTACAGTGTAGGAGTGCCCTAGGGAACACTTCTGACTGGAGGAGAATGAGGGAACATGGTTTGCTGGGGTTGTTCAGCCTCAGAGGATAACTGTGTGAAGCCACAAGGATTTACCCAGTGCCAGGTGAGCCAAAGGCAGTGGAGCATCCCTTGGTCACTGTCCTGTGTGACACCATGGGCTCTGGCTCCTCCCAGCTCAGTAGCACTTGTAGATGAAGAAGTGAAAATCAGTAACATTCTTTTCCCAGTTTTATATAGAGAAGCAGAAAATATCTGACACGTTTCATCTACTCAGTTCAATACAAAACATTTAAAAGGGAACAAATCTCAGAGACAGAATCCATGCGGATGCAGGAACGAGCAGACTATGAATGACTCTGATGCCGGATTGAACACAACCGGAGCTACAGCTACAGATCATGAGTTTCACCAACAACGACCTTGCGCTGAATGCTGCTGTGCTTAGCAACAAGGGAAAAACATCCTTCAGGAGAGGGAGAACAGGAATCATTCTGCCCTGGCCAGAGCTCACTCCTGCACACACCACACTCCAGCCCCCCCCTGTATTCCAGCATGAAGAGCCTGTAGGATGGACTCTGCTGCTGCTTCCCACTGTTGTATGGATTCCCAGGCTGATGCTGGTGGCTATATTCACAGAATCATCAAATGGTTTGGGTTGGAAGGGACCTTAAAGCTCGTCTCATTCCACCCCCTGCCATGGCCAAGGACACCTTCCACTAGGTCAGGTTGCTCCAAGCCCCATCCAACCTGGCCTGAACACTTCCAGGAATGGGGCAGCCACAGCTTCCTGGGCAACCTGAGCCAGGGCCTCACCACCCTCACAGAGAAGAGTAAAATTCTGTATAGAAATCTAAAATCAAGTAATTTTGGATCAAAGATGACATTTAAGATATGGAACTATTCATTAGAGAAGGAATGTCCAACCCATAACTGCGCAAACCCAGCTGTAATTAAGCATCTGAGCGGGTGTTTATAAACACATGTTCTCATCTAAATGTCTTAGAAACAAACAGCTCTGTTATACCAGTTCCCCCAAACCACAGAAAGCGATGTGACACTGGCACTGAGCAGAGTTACAGCTCTCCTCTGCAGGCTGATGTTCTCCCATATGCACTCTCAAATCTGAGTTGACCTAATTTCAGGGGTAGGATGGGTCCCCAAATGCAAGACAGTTTCTGCAGTAAAATATTCACAGACCAACAGAGTAAAATTTCCAGGTATATTCCCAGGAGCACATTAGTATTTCATGCTTCAAGACACATCCTTGCCTTTATTTAACACCCAGGACCTCTGCAACATCCCCATGCTGGTGACAGAGGTTTCACGGTATCTGAACACTCTGACTTCTGCTATTCCGGTTCCCTTGCATGGGAAGAAGTGTTTCCTGAGAGCTGTAAATCCATTGCATCATTTAAAATGTACCACAAGACAGTTCTGAGGGTTATTTTAAAAACATCTTTCAAAAATGTATTAGAATAAGGAGATTGCAGAGGAAGAGCTACAATTTTTAGAACGATTTTTAATAATTTTTTTGGGGAAAAAATAATATTAAGCTAACATTGCATGCATGTGTTTTGCATTTTAAACAGCATCTTCCAAAAGTCAATGTGTCCTGGAAAAAAACTTAAAACTTAAAAAAAAAAAAAGAGAGCAGATAATTGTACTGTAAAAGCCATTCTTTTACTTGGCTTTTTCTTTCTTTGTAGAAGAATCCCTAAGTCTGCATTTAAACAACTGATAAGACAGAATCATCTTTCACTGACAGAACCCATATTGTGTAATTTATGGGGTGCCACAATAACCATCTTTAGGTACCCATTGCTGGTCAGCACAGTCCCATTGCCAGCATTACCAAGTCACTATCTCTAAGCTCAATTTATGGTCCCAAATCAGAACAACAGATCTTCACAGATGGACAACTGCCATTGCTTTTTCTCTGTCACCAGAGTTTCTGTCAAAGCCAAGAGGATGCTTGTTCTACACAGACAGGACAACCTCCTCCCCCCCTCTCTTACTTCTCCAAGGCAGCAGGATATTTTACTTTGCTGTTTTACTTCATTGACATTTTTAACTCTTGGTCAGCTTCTGTATTGACAATTTCATGTCTTTTCTTGCCCAGCTCATGTCCCTCAGGCATAGTGGGTGGAAATGGCTGTCCCTGGATGGGCATACCCAGACACTGGGGATGTCCCACCACCAGCACTTCGTTCTTCAGGTGTTTGCAGTCAACATCCAACATTACACCAGTGCACTATACATTTGCTTTTTTATTTTATTTGAAAAATGTCAAAATTTGTTAACCTCTCAGTGAAATGCTGCCGTAATTTGTGGTGTTCACTCATTTGTCTTAATGCAAACATCCATACGTCCAGTGCTTGCCAGGGGACAAACAAGTGCCTCTCCCTGCCCTGCAGGGTCTCGGCCCCTCAGCTTTTTTGTGGGGAGATTTTTGTCTCTTTTCATGAATTTGCCCCAAAACATCCATCTAAGCAGACACCTGCCTCCAGAGCTGCCCATGAGCCCTGAGGTGCCTTCTCCATGGCTTCATGCCCCTCTCCAGCACAGACCCCCATTCCCAGAACACACAGTTCACTAGACCAGAACCTGGCGTGGAAGGTGTCCCCGCCCACAGCAGGGTGTTGGAACAGGATCTTTAAAGTCCCTTCCAACCCAAACCATTCTGGGATTCTGTGAACTGTGCTGGGGGCTGAGGCGCTGCCCTGGGTAAGCAGGTGGCCCGTGAGGCCTCATCCATCCATTGTGGTGGGGACAGTTGGCAAAGCAAAAGAGGAAAGAATCACAGAACAGTTGGGGTTGGAAGGGACCTCTGGAGATCAGTCCAACTCCCCTGCCCCCAGAGCAGGTGACATAGGAACCTGTCCAGATGGGTTTGGAATGTCTCCAGGGAGGGAGACTCCATGCCCTCCCTGGGCACCTGTTCAGGGCTCTGCCACCTCCCATGGAAAGAAGTTCTCCCTCCTGTTGAGGTAGAACTTTTGTTTTAGTTTATGGCCATTGGTCCTTATTCTGTCACTGGGCACCACCAAAAAGAGTCTGGCACCATTCTCTGACACCTGTTCATATTTTTATGGATTGATGAGTTAGATCACCTCTCAGTCTTGTCTTGTCTTGTCCAGACTAACCAGGTCCAGCTTTCACAGTCTATCCTCGTAAAAGAGATGCTCTAGACCACTCATCATCATTGTGGCTTCCGCTCCTTGTCTCTTGTGCTGAGGAGCCCAGAATTGGACACAGCACTCCCGATGTAGCCGAGCAGAGGGGGAGCATCGCCCTCCTGACCTGCTGGCCACACTCTTCCAGCAGCCGCTCCGTGGGGCACGGGTGCAGCCGGGCCCGGGGGTCTCGGGCAGGGGGGACCGGGCGTGCGGGGCCGCGGGCTGCACTTTCGCTCCTCGGCCAACAGGTCGCACCGTTCCCCCTCGGCTGGGGCGGGCGGGCGCTGCCCCGCGGAGCCGAGCGAGGAGCGGCGGCGGCGGGCAGAGCCGAGCCCTGCTGAGCCGAGCCGAGTCGAGCCCAGCCGGGCTGAGCTAAGCCCAGCCGAGCCCGGCCGTGCGGCGGTGGCCGCCCCTCTAGCAGCCGGCTGTCTCCACTCCCTCTGCACGTCGGGGAGGCGGAGGGAGGGAGGGAAGGAGGGAGGGAGGAGGGGAAGAGGAGGAGGCGGCCGCCGCCGTCCTCCATTTTGTGGCGGGGGCAGAACCGCCGAGTGCGGCGCTGCCCGCGGAGGGACGGGGCGGGGAGCGCGGGGGGGGCGAGGTCCGCGGAGGCAATTAGCGCTAATTAACGGAGGGGGCGCCGCGGTGGCGGGCGGGGTCGGGTCAGGGTCTGAGGCCGGCGGGAGGAGCAGCGGCAGGAGCAGCAGCGGGGGGAGCGGTGCTGTCGCCGCCGTGGCCCCCGGAGGGGCAGCTATTGACTCCCCCCCCAGCCGGCTGCCGCCCCCCGCCACGGGTGCGATGGCCGTGGGCGGCTGAAGGAGCCCCAGCGCCCTCCCCCGGACGAGGTAAGGGCGGTGAGGGTCCCGCGGGGGGCTGCGCTTCCCCCTCGGGAACTTCCCGGGAGGAGGCGAGGAGGGGGGGGCGGTGGCGGCGCCCCCGCAGGAATGCCCGGGGCGGGGGCGAGCCGAGCCGAGCCGCCCCCCGGGAGGATCCCGGGGCGGGACGGGAGCAGGGGCCGGCGGCGGGGAGCGGGGACCCCCGGCCCTTGGCCCCGGCGTGTGTCCGTGGGGAGCGGGGGGCGCGGAGGGGGAGCGGGAGCCGAGCCCCGGGCTGGACTGGTTTTGCAGAAGTGGGTGTGCCAGGAGACGGCTCAACAGGTCCCGACACATTTCTCTGAAAACTGTACTTTGTAAAGGCGATTTTACTGCAATCCGGTGGTTTTAAGTGTTTGTAGCGTTTTCCTCCTTTAGGCAGAGTCTCGCAGCTGGTTTTTGACACGTTTCCTGCGCTGGATGGTTCCCTGCCTTGGGGATTTTTTTGACATTGGGGGAATTGTCAGATGGAATAACTACGTTTTTCCTCCCCTTCATGTTAAAAAAAAAAGAAAAGAAAAAGAAATAGGCAAAGCTGGAGGTAGATAGTTATATTTTTTCGAGTCGCTGTTGCGGCGTCCACCTTAAACAGCCGAGCAGTTCGGGGGTGCCCCGTTCCCGTTGGTGTCCCGGCTGGCAGGAGAGCGGCTCCCTGGACACGACCAGGAGACCCATCGCCCCGGGAACCGGGGCACGGCACACCCGGGACCCTCATCCCGGCTCATGGCAGGGACGGGCGCGGTGCTGCCGAAGGCCCACGAAGGGTTTTGGCGTCGAGCCTCCCCCGCTCGGGACGATTTCCCCAAACCAGAGCTCGCCGGGGTCACCTTAAAATTTTACACGTGGGGCCTTTTTGTTTATCGAGCCTTAACTCTAGCACACAGAAATAGCAGCGGTGTCGGGGGCTGGGGAAAATGGGCGGCAGAGCCGCGGGTTTATGATTAAGACGACTGCAAACTTGTGAGTTGGGTCACTGCGCTCAGGGGGTGCAGCCGTGGCCGGGCTGGAACTGGGGCATTGCCCCTCCGCGGGCTGGGACGGGGCGGTGCGGGCTGAGCGCTGAGTGTGAGGCCGTACACAAACTGTATAGGAAGTTTGCCGAAGAATTTACAGTGGTTCTCCAAATATTTATGCTCTCTGCTGGAAGAAAATGTAGTAAATACAAACAGACGAAACTTGGGAGATTTCTTTTCGGTGTATTTGTTGGAGAGTAGCCGTGAGCGGGTAAAGTGTTGAAAGCTAACAAAAAATCCTGCTTTATTTTGAACTAGCTTTTATTTATAAATTGGAGATGTATTTAAAGATTGTGCACGGTTTTTTGCAAGATTAGTGTGTTGCATTTTAAAATGAACCCGTGCGAAGGTGGCAAAGGCTGTTTTGTGGTGGGGAGATTGTGTGACATCTGGAGAGTAATAAACCACGGAGGTTCTGTCTGTCTGGCTCCGGAGGCTCTGTACTGCTGTGAGTGAGGGACCTGCAGGCAGTGAGAGAGCTGACTGGGAAAGGTGATAAATGCGCTTCTCCCATGCTCAAGGTGTAATTAAATACCGGGGAAATTTACCTTGCAAAATTTGTGAACCAGGTCCTTTAACAATCTTTACACTTCCTTCATGCAGGGATGGGTGACAGAGCTGGAGAGTGCGTGCAGAGAGATGTCATGTGCTGTAGGCTGATTCTGAGTTGTGTGCAGATTTAGCAAAACTTTAAAATATGTACTTCCTCCTGACAAGACAGAAAAAAAAAATTAAAACCCCTGAAAACAAGCACTGTTTGAGGGACGTGGCACGTGTCAGCTCATAGCGCAGTCTGCCCTGCCTTCGTTCTCAGAGCAGCTGAACCAGGCTCGCCAGGCGAAAGATTTAGAGTTCTTATTTTTAAGCTGTTATTAATGTGTCCTTGCTGTGCTAACTTTGACTGCTTCTGATCTTTTTATAGTTAATGGTAAAGTAATGGATTCCAAAGAATTGCTTAACCCGTCGGATCAAGACGAAACAAGGAAAAATGCTCTCATCAGTACCAAAGGAGGGATCGTGATGGACTTTCATCCACCCTTCAGGGGTGGAGCTACTGTCCAAGCCCCTGTGTCTACATCTCCTCTCCCTGCGTCTTCTCAGTCAGATTCCAGTCAGCAACCTGCTTTGCCTGACTTTTCGAAAGGATTAGGAAACAATGTGCCTCAGCCAGACCTTTCCAAGGCAGTGTCGCTCTCAATGGGACTGTACATGGGTGAAACAGACACAAAAGTGATGGGAAACGACCTTGGATTTTCGCACCAGGGCCAAATTGGCATCTCTTCTGGAGAAACGGACTTCAGGCTCTTGGAGGAAAGTATTGCAAGCTTGAACAAGTCCTCGAGCCTGGCCGAGGACGCGAAGGGATCCGCGTCTTCTGAAGTGCCGCTCGAGCCGGATTTCCCGGGCATGGCCGGCCGCAACGTCCCTTTAGAGTCGGGAACTGCAGTCCAAAGCCAGGTTGGCTCAAATGGTGGCAACTTGAAGTTGTTCTCTGAAGACCAAAGCACCCTGGATATTCTCCAGGATTTAGAATTGCCGCCAGTATCGCCTGGCAAGGAGACCAACGGGAGCCCGTGGCGGCTGGACCCGTTGCTCGATGATGGTGGTTTGCTGTCCCCCATATCTGCAGATGATGCCTTTCTCCTGGAAGGAAATCTCGGCGAAGACTGCAAGCCTCCCATTTTATCTGACACTAAACCTAAAATTAATGACCATGGTGACCTTTTACCCAGTTCCAAAATGCCAATGCCTCAAGTGAAAACAGAAAAGGAAGACTTCATTGAACTCTGTACTCCTGGCATCAAGCAGGAAAACATGGGCCCACTTTACTGCCAGGCCAACTTCTCCGGGTCAAACCTGCTGGGTACGAAAGTCTCGGCCATCTCCATCCACGGTGTCAGCACCTCTGGGGGACAGATGTACCACTATGATTTAAATACTGCATCGCTCTCTCAGCAGCAGGATCAAAAACCAATTTTTAATATCATTCCATCTCTTCCTGCCGGGTCAGAAAATTGGAATAGGTGCCAGGGATCGGGGGACGAGGCGTTGGCTCCTCTGGGAACGCTCAACCTTTCTGGCAGACCTGCTTTCTCTAATGGCTATTCAAGGTAATTAGTTTTTGTTGCTATTTATTAAAATGCTGCAAGTGTGTTTAGCACAACTGTGTGCATGCTGGTTTGTTGTTTGGGTTTTTTCCTTTTTTTCCTGTTTTTCCTTTTCTATTTGGTACATGTGGCTGATCAGACTTCTGTGGGGAGTATGTATTTATTGCCACAGTACAACAGTAGCTTTAATCAACTACTCAACTATTGGTATTAAAGGGATAAAGAGAGAAAGGGAGCTGGCATGCTTTAAAAAGTAAATAAATAAAAATAAAACTTCCAGGATACTGCCTGAAGGGAAAATTGAGTACGTGGTAGCAGGATCCATATGCAGACAGTATGGAAGGAAGTATTTAAGTGTATACAAAAGCTGCTTCGTTCCCAAGGGTTAGAGGATCAATCACTGTGGGCTTTTTTTCCTTCCTAGTGTTACTTAAATGTTATACACAAAAATAACTTGGTTGCCGGGTAAATTTCTAGAATTACATTTAAGCTGAACTCGAGTTTTCGTTGTGCTCAGTATCACATTTACCTTACATGGACAAGAAGATTCCGAGTGGGAAATACTCAGCAGCTTGTTCAATAACTGCGTTTAAAGAGATAAGAGTATTTGCAGTCAGATTTAAACTCTTGAGTAGAATGGTAGAAGGGCTGCTGGGAGAGGGATTTGGGAGCAAGTTGGATTAGGGGACCTGATTAGTAGTACCTGTGGCAAGTGCCTTGGTAGTTGTGTTTTCTACAAGTAATCCAGAGGTGCAGATATGCCAGTCGAACACTCCTGGAGGAGTGAACATGGCTGTGGCAGCTCAGTGGGCAGCTGTGCCCGTCTCTGTTCTGATTCCAGTGGGAACAGCCAGTTGTATGTTTTCAGTATGGATACCCAGTTGCAAGTTTTCCTTAGGATTTTGGTGTGAACTCTTAGTTTTAAGTTTTCAGCGTGAATACCCACTTGTATGTTTTCCTCAGCTGTCCTGTGTTTGAACAACTACTTGAAAGAGCAATGTTTGGCCTCCGTGGAGGCAGAGGATTTTGCTTTGGAGTCTGTTAGAAAATGGCTCTACAAGTCCCTATACATAAACCCAGTATTTGTAGGCTTTTAATTAAGTATCTGGTTTAACTTTCTGGGTTTTATTGCCCTGCTGGCAGTCGATCCCCAGGGTGTTCCCTGCCAGTCCCAGGGCTCTCCCTGCATGATATTTGCTCCCTTTTCCCATGGTTGGAATGAAGTGAGTGAGGATTTATCCTTTGTTTCAGGAGGGCAACTTTGAGCTTGCTTTCACTCTCAATTTTTTTCATAGATTTTGATTTTTGTCACCAGTGTGTGCTTTTTTTTCTTCAAAGTGTTTAAAGCAATTTATAATGTAAGGGATCCAGAAAAGAAAATCAAAATTCGTGGATAGATTCCACCCTGATATATGAATATTGAACATGCCTTATTATTTATTTTAAGAGAGTAGAAATCCTTTCTGCTCACCTTTTGTATCATCAGTGCAATTCTGTGTTTAGTTTGTTTCATGGGGATTTTTTTGGTGGATATTTTTTCCCCTGGTCTTGCTGTATCTTTAATGACAATCATAAACTCTGTATCAAAGTAAGAAGTATTTCTGCATTGGGGAGGAGGATTTCAGGGACTGTTTAACTAAGCAGATTCCCTGGAGATAATGGAAATGTCAGTTTTGGGAATAATTCTGGGAGTTGCTGCATTGGTTGTGTTTTGCAGAGCTGTGTGGGCAGAGCCCAGCACGCACGGAGATGTTTGTCCAGCTTTGGGGAATTTTAAGCACCAGTATTCTGTCCTGTGTGTCTGATCCTGGAGGGATGAAGATCCCACTCAGGCTGCTAATGTGGGCTGATCCTGCAGGGAAAGGGCCAGCAGCGGGAGATGTTATCAGTGCTCTGTGGAGCAATTTGGGGAGGGTGTTTGTGTTGGCGGGGGCAGGCTGCGATGGGCAGGAGTGTGGGGATGGTGGGCAGAGTCTGGAGGAGCTCCCGGGACAGCCCGGGGAACGTCCTGGGAATGTCCCGGCAGCACCAGCACCAGCTGCCTCCACCACTGCCGGGTGTTATCCACGCTGGGCCTCAAGTGTTGACGTTCTTGCTTCCTGCAAGGTCGTCTTATATTTTATTGCTTCCTTTTTGCTGTAAGATAATGGATTTTTTTTTTTCTTTATGGAATGTGTAAAGAATTTTGAGGTGGCTTCGAGTTGAGTTTTGCATAAAAATTCATTATTCTCGGCTTTATGGAAGCTGTTCTTCCTTCCCGAGGATTTTTTATACACTAAAACTGCAACGTCCAGTTCTAAAACCAGTATTGTTTGGGTTTGCTTTATTATTTTTATTCCATAACATTCAGGCAATTCCATTTTTTTTTTACAATGTTTGGGATGCTAATGAACCCTGGGTTTGATGCAGGATTTCTCTTTCTTCCTGAACCTTGTCAGAAATATTTGGTCTAAACTGGGTTAGTTTAAGGTGATGTATTGTGGGTTTGCTTGTTTTTCTTGCAGAAGACTTAACAAAATTGGCATTTGTTTTAGAAACAAAGGAAGGACTCTCTTGCCAGGTTCCCGTGGTCTGTTTTTTTTAGGTACTAATTGTGAGAGGTGGAGGCCAGGATTTTGAGAAGCTTAGGTTCCAATAGGAAATATTTCTTGGTGTTGGGAGAATTATTTGGCTATTAATAACATAATAATTATAGACTGAGCATATGGGAAGAAAAGCTGCGGTTCAGTCCTGGTGTTCAGGTTGTATTTAATCTGCCTGTTTAATGGGAAGCCTGGAATGTCTCTTTATATCCCCACAAGCTGGAATTGATGTCATGCCATTTTTGAGTGGTTTTGCTTCTAAGGATAGCACAGCATGCTGGCTTTAATGAGACAAGCGATAATCAGGCCTGAGAAAACTAATCAATTTTAGAGAGCAGCAGGAGGGATTCTAAAGTTAACAAGCAGAATGCAAACTTCAGGAATTTGATTAATGGGAATGAATTGGCAATGATCAATAAATTGCTGCCTGTGGAATTGTCAGCCAGTGCTTGTGCTGATGTGCAAATTTTGATGGTAAAACACTGAGGTGCAGCTCCTCAAACCCCAGATCTTTGTCTGGGCTCACTTTGGGGTCTCCAAGCATTGAGAACAGAAAAGGTGGATAGAACAGAAGGGAGGAAAAAAGTAGGCTAATGGAGGGAGTTTGCCTTAGATTTTCTTTAATGGCTGTGAGACAGCAGCTGGGAGAGGAGTAAATCGCACTGAAAGCGTTTGGTAAATGCTTCACTGAAGAACTGGAGGGTTTGCTGGGGTCTGTCTCCAATGGGATGTTATTTGTGATTTATTGCAGGTAAAATTCTTCCATTTTAAGGAAATGGTTTTAGCAACACACACTCATAGGGCTCTTGCGTGGTATATACATTAAATCCATTGCTCAGCTCCTATTCCTCTGTTTTCCTGGAGATGTGGCTTGTTGCGGTGAGAGCGAAGGACACAGGGAACCGGCCCAGCGATGCAGAGTTTGCTCTGTGTTCTTGCTCTGAGTCTACAGCCAGAATTCACAGAAACTGGGCCCCACTGGCAGTGTTATGGCTTCTCTTATTACAGTTGAAATCATTCCTAGTACTTAAGCTTGTGGGGGATAAGGATCATTAAGGAAGTTTAAGAAAGGGCAAGAGCTGAGAGAAGCCGTTAAAGAGGAGGAAAGTCTGGAAGGGTGAGAAGTTTTGCTGGTCGGTCACAGTCCAAAGCCTTGCTTCCAGAAGTTACCTTTCTGTCCTCACTCCTGAACTGGGATTCTTCTTGGACTCAGGTGTTGTACCAGAAGGAAGGGGAAAAAAGGGCTTGTTTGCCAGCAGTGGTAAAGGTCAGTTGTCCGTTTGTCTTCCCGCTTTGTTTCACTCGGCTGGTGGCCAAGGCTGGTGGCTTGGCAGGGCTGGATGCAGTGCTTTAAGTGCTGCCTGACTCAGCAGTATATAATGTATGGGACATCCGGAATTGGGTCTTTTTTAATAATTCTATTTTGATATGAAACCCAGACATGTTATTTGGAGTGCTTGGAGTTCCAGCAGTCTGTGTTGTGATTTGTCAGCTTAATGTAATACTGTACTTGGGGTTTGAGTCTGGAAATGCATGGCAAAAAGTCCACTTGTTTTGGCAGAAAGGGGTGAATCAGGAATGTCCTGCAGAGTGTCTTCTAAAGTGTTGTGAGAAGGTAGCCAGGTAAATGAGAGGTCATGTAAAATGTAACCCGCTTTTCCAAATTTTGGCTGATCCTCTCGTTGAGCTGATTGCTGAGTAGTCGAACCCAAACTGTTAAATGGTGCTAATTTATTTCCCTTTATAATGACCTCTATTTGAAACTGAGTTCTAGCTTATGAAACAAGCTGATTTTTGTTGTCCATTCAGTTTTTTTAATCTCTCTTCATGGTTGAACCTCTTGTACTTTCCTGCTGCCAGCGAAAGCAGAGCTGTAGTTGAACGAGCCGTACTCACGAATCTTCTCAGAAATGTGAAATACAGGTGTTACACAACTCCTACATTATATATTTACCATGATGACTTTATTGGTATATTTACCTGTGTGATTTTTACACTGTGAGAGCACTTTGTCCTTGAGAAGCAAATTTCCCTTCTTTGATTGTTGTTGCTCATTTTGGAAATGAACAAGCTGTGCCTCTTCTACATGTATAAGTAACTGCAAAGTGGGATTATTTTTATGATGTAAAAGGTTCCCAAGTCCTTCTGTCTTCCTGGATCCCCTTTTATAGCTGCTGCTCAGCGGGGTACTAACTCTTCTCCTCCCCAAACTCTTGCTTGTGAAGTATTGGAGACACAACTCTATTCATTTTTGGGGTAGGTGAATGCTGCCTGGGCCGCTGTCCCACCCTAATATTCTGGTCTAGCATATGTGTTCTTCAGACAGTTCTAAAGGCGTTAGTCTTGAGGTAAACAACATTCCAATAAATTCTGTTTTCAATCCAAGTTATGAGCAATGGGAAGGCTTTGTAGAGCCGTAGT